ACACAGCTGTGAAATATAGTGCCAAGAAACATTAACTGCTTCATGTTTTTGCTCTCCGTTTTAAAAGTTCAACACTAACCGTTTTGTAGTGTTGTTCAATTTAGCAAATGCTGGCTATTTTTCTCTTTTAATGGCATGTAAACACCATGTGGCTCTTTCTTTGTTTGCTTCGTAGTTATGATAAATATAATCCTATCACAAATGTCAGCACTATTCTGAGAATGGAGGATTTGCTCCCTCTGGCTCTCTAGTTGCACAACCACAGCAAAAAAATTGAATTATGTGTAATTATGGGCCTTACTCTTTTTTGATAAGGTGGCTAGTTCAGCATTCCGGACCTCATGGTTATAAAGTGTAATATTGACTCTAATTGAGTTTATTTACCTCTCCCCATGAACTATTTTTGCCTTGAGAATATATTTCAAAATTCTCTGAATTGTGTCCCTCTTTTTTTCCCTACCGTAAAACAAAAGTTTAAATGTGGCATTAGATGTACTTTATGTGATGCAGTTCTGATTTCATACTATGTCTAGGAATGCTAACATGGGTGGTCAGTGAAAGTAGGGTTGGGGGACACAGCCCCCCTTCCCATCTACAGCCCCACCCCTTCTGTTGGGGCTCTGCCCTCCACCACAGGAGCCGGCCAGCACGCATGTGTGCCCCAGCCTCCCTGGCCTGGGGCACTGGGGAGGGAGGGGGGTGCATGGCCCCAGCCTTCCTGGCCCCAGAACACTGGGGAGGGTGGGCACTCGGGGGCAGCAACATTCTGCCTTGGTATGCCTACTGTAGGTGTTCTGGGGGTGGAGTGTGGGTGGGGCCGTGTCTGGCCATTTGGGAAGGCTGTGCATTTCCCCTGTCTAGGATACTGGACACCCATGGATGCTAATATCCATTGATAAGGAAGAAGTACTGCAGAAAGAGATTCGGGACACATAATGCATCACAAATTAAATATGAGTGAACAGTATAGTTGCAAAACAAAATCACCTCAAATCAGTCTGGGGTATTAGCATGAATGGTGGAAGCAAGACAAAAAGTAATTCTTTTGCTCCATGTTGATTAGACTCAGTGCTTTTTTTTGTGGTTAAAAAAAAAAAAGCGCCAGTACTCCAGGAGAAAAGTTGTTGAGCTCTGGAGGTGCCGGTACTGCGTACCGGGTAGTACCGTCACAAAAAAAGCACTGAATATTGTGGAATATTCAGTGTCCAGCTCTGGGTGTCACATTTCAGGAAAGATGTGGATAAATTGAAGAATGTCCAGAAAAGAGAAACTAAAAAGTCTAAAAACAGGACCTATGAGGGTAGATTGGAAAAGAGACAGAGGGGACATTATAGCAGTTTTCAAGTACATAAGTTGTTATAAGGAGCAAGGAGAAAAATTCTTCTTAATCTCTGAGGG